TTCCTTAATCTATATAATATAATATATTAGAAGGACTAATTAGAGGTATTATTTTTTTGTTATTTTTTACAAAAAATAAAGTTTTATTTGTTTTACATTATTTCTAGTGTTTTTTAAATATTTGAGATTTTAAGACTATCAGTGCATATTTTATTCAAATATTCTTAATCAAATCAACTTTTCTTATTTTTTTTTGGCTTTTTGACCATTTCGGCTATCATAAATATTAATTATTAATCACTGATTAGTGATTAGTAATTACCAGGGCTAAGGACTTATAGCATTTGCTTATTTTTATGGTTTGACATAAAATCTAGCAAAAAGCTATGGAAGTGTATGCAATGTCACAACTCGTTCAACTATGAAATTTGAAAGTGCATTTTTTAATTTTTTTCGACAAATTAAAAAAAAATATGCTTATTTCTAGTTTTTCCGAATATTTTTGCTTTTATGTATATCTCTAATGACGTATACGTCCTAGCCTACATATAGATAGGGGCCGCTGACAAAAAAAAAAATGTTAGTTAATTTTCTGTTTTTTTTTGTTGTTTTTGTTCAAGGCGAGCCTTGAACTAAAAATAATTATTCTTCTTTATGTCATATTTTCTAGTAATAAACACCATAACTCATATTTCTCCTCTATCTACTAATTGGCCAAATTAATCAATTTATGGTTATTAGAACATTTTTCAGAAAATATATAAAAAGTATAATAAAGAAGTTAAAATGTTTTAAAAGGCTAGAAGTTTAATTTTTTTTTGTCTCTAAGTATAAAATTGTGTTAATGATTTTTATTGTGCTTATAATGATATATTTGAATGCCTTTTTCAGCGCTCATATTGATGATTATAAGTGCTATAAATCCCAAACCCTGGTAATGATCTTTTTTTTTTTTGTGAAAGATGATTTCTATCAACATTACCTTTATATTAACTTTTACTACCAAAGTCACTATTTCCATTTTATGCAAATAAAAATATTATATACTACTTTTGATTGTTATCTTTAAACATAGAACACTTTAATGTTATTATATACCATTATATTCTATAAATAACTGTGGAGGATGTTTCTTGTTTTAATTGTATTATCAACTAAACTATATTAGCCAATCAGTTTTCTTTCTTACATAAAGTATAAAAAATATAAATATCTACCTTCCTTCCATTATTTCAATAGTCATTGATCTAGATACAACATCTCTAGATGCAAGTTCTTTAGCATTAGGTGCATATTTCTCCATAAATCTTTCACCTAAACCATTGATTAAATATCCTCCTTCACCACGGCAACCCTCTGTCATCAAGCAGCCAGCACCATATATACCAGTAGGGTGGAACTGTACAAATTCCATATCTTGCATTGGAATACCAGCCCTTGATGCTAAAGCTTGACCATCGCCAGTACAAGTATGAGCAGCTGTACATGAAAAGTAGGCTCTAGCATAACCACCAGTAGCTAAAACCTATTAAGAATAAAGTATATAATTATGGAAGTAAAATAAAAATTAATTTGCAAGAAGAAAAAAAAATACTAACTGTATTCTTAGCTCTAAAGCGATGAATAGAACCATCTTCCAAGCATAAGGCAATAACTCCGACACATTGTCCTTTATCCATAATTAAATCCAAAGCAAAATATTCCACAAAGTAATTGCAATTAAATTTTAATGAATATCCATATAAAGTATGTAATAGTGAGTGGCCTGTTCTGTCAGCTACACAACAAGTACGATGTGCTTGACCACCTTTCCCATATTCTAAGCTCTGACCACCAAATGCTCGTTGATATATTTTACCTTCATCAGTACGACTAAATGGCATACCTATAACATTTTATGAGCTACTATAATTTCAAAGAAACTAAATAGTTAATAGTGAAGAATGTATTGATCTCAAAATGATTTTTTTTTCAACAGCTTCTTTTATGGTATAAAAGTGAATTTAGTTGGTACGTTGAGGGTTAAAAATAAAAAATTCTAAGTGCAAATCTAAAACAAATTAACTTTAGACAAATGATATTTTTCACTTGGTCAAAAAACATAAAAATGTAATACAACGTCCCTCAATGAAAATTTAAAAAAATTTGAATTTAAATCTACAAAAATTTTATAACAGTGTATATAAACAGATATGGTAACAATGAGTGAGTAGCATAAATTCACTTTCCCATTGGAAAAGATACTGAAGTTGAAAATTGAAGTATTAATTTGAGCAGACAAGAAAAATAAAATACATAATTTTAAAATCGATACATTTATTGAACCGCTCAGAATTTAAAATATGTAAACAGTTATTTTAAGTTCAAATGTGGACCAAATTACATATTAAAACTGTGAATAAAGATTTTAGTTATTTTGTTGTACTTTAAAAATATTATTTGTGGGTATTTGAGACTATTGAGACTTTGAGTACATTATTATATTGTATACACTACACAGCATACATACAATAACATTTTCAAATGCAATTATTTTGGCAATTAATCAACTTACAACAGTACTTATGCCTCAAAGTAAAATAAATAACTTTAATCACAAGAATACCATAAAATTTACTTACTAATATTATAGCCTAAAGAATTTGTTCAGAACCATTATTTTAAAATAATTATTGAATTCAAATTTAACACATCTCTCTAGAAGCCTAATATACATTACCCACTAGACCGGCTTTTTTTTCTTAAATATAAAATGTTAATTAATTTTTTTATTATATTTTGAGCTCCTAATAGTTTTACCATAATTTTCTAACTCGATGACAGCTGCAGGTGCCTCTCTTGTCAAATAATGGATAGCATCCTGATCTCCTAACCAATCTGAACCTTTAACAGTATCAAACCTAAAATATAAATAAAAATATCTTTTAAGCAACATAATTCATCAATAAAATCATTTAGAGAAACAAATTGCTTAGGGGGTAAAGTACTCATTAATATATATCAATATTTATCATATTGTCTGTTATAGCAAGTTTCACTGTATTCTATACACAATTTTATCCAATTTCATTTAACCAACAGTAACATTGTATCAGTTTATACAAGGTAATTGTGATAACCCAGAAGTACCAAAAATATATTTTAATTGACATACATATGCCATCGCCAGTCATCATTTTCCATATTCCCTAAAGCAGCATTAATTCCCCCTTGGGCAGCAACCGTATGAGATCTTGTTGGAAATAGTTTAGTAATGACTGCTGTTTTAAATCCTTCTTGTACTAAACCAAAAGCGGCACGGAGACCAGCTCCTCCAGCACCAACTACGACAGCATCATATTCATGATCAATTACTGAATATGCATTTGTTCCCTAGAAATTATTTTAAAGTAATTAAATAAACTGTACAAAATTATACTATAATTGACAAAGGAAAATACTACGAGACAAAACTATACATATACAATATTCAATTAATTTATTAGAATTATTTAACATTAAATATAAATAAATTACCTCAATTATATAATTGTAAGTAAAAAAAAATCTATGCAGTTTGTTTAATTTGTTCAATTTTGGACAAGCCATTCAAATAGATTTATTTTATTGCTTTGATTGTTTAAATTTGTTTAATTAGGTTGGCAATTGCTTTGGAGATATATACTTACTGCTGTACTCTGTTTCGATGAATAATATTGAGATTGATGTAAGTTTCTTGTGTAAATTAAGGGACGGCTCCAATTATTCTAAAAAAAAAAAATTTGGTTAACTAATTCTCCTTAAATATAGTGGCGTCAATTCAGTTTATATAGGGTGGGTCAAAAGTTCATATAATTGAAAGAAACAGAACACTTGCAAGATCATAAGTAAATTACTATCTTATCAATAGTTTTCTAATGCATACACACAATATTATATTTCCTCAAAATTGGAAAAATTGTGTTATTTCACCAACAACTGGCCTCTTCACAACTAAAATGACGCCACTGCTTGAATATAAACATAATATTATTTTATAAATACAAATATATTTTAATTATTTATTAAGGTTTTAGTTTAATTTATTTTCATATTTTGAATTTCATCCTAAACAGGTATTTATAAAATATTCAATAATTAATTGTGAAAAATGCAAAAACAAATTAAATAAGCATTCTTTACACATTTAATTATTCTATTAATTTAACAAACAAATAAATACTGAATTGTTGCAACATATTACGCAATATTAAAAATAACTTAAGCTTGAGTAACAAATAATAAGTAATACAAATTATTTAGCTTTTAGAAAACAGTTTAATGAAAAACTATTAAAAATTTATAAGAAATATATAAAAATGATTTAATGAAAATGAGTAATTTCTACTCGTGCATTTAAAAACCATTAAATAAGGATACCATTGTAAATATATTAAATGGAAACCTTAATTAATTTATAATTTATAAGAATGTAATACAAAACTATACCAAACAATGTTTATCCTTGTATTAGCTAGCAACCTAACTGGTTTGCCAATTAAATTTGAGAAGAAATACTTACAGTTTTTGAATAAGTACTTCGTGATATTGGATTCACAATTTTTAACAAGCCAATCATTTTTATACAATTTTAATACTATTTTTATTTCACAGATAAATATGACGAGCCAATCTTAGATGAGCAAAAATGTCAAATGTCATGAACTCAAAAAGACGAGAACTGGAGAGTGAAAATCTGTCTTATAATTTAACTAATTTTTTAATCAGCTGAAAAATAAGAAATAAGAATAGTTGAGATACTATTCAACAGTAAACATCGCTGTTATAGCTGCAGGCTGGTTCATGGTGGGTAATTAGTTAAAGGTATACCATATTTATCATAGAGTTTAAAATGTATACATATATAAAATTTATATGTAGATAATAGATGAATGGAATAAAAGGTTAAGCGGTATCTGGTACTACCACCTAGGTTCATATCGTGGAGAAAACAATTATGAAACTAATCAATTCTATAGTCATGGATGATAAAAAGCATGACCTTCTGGCGTCCCCACCCAACAGGGTTACAACATTATTCGCAATCTGGGCGATCGCAATCGTAGTACTGGGCCAGTTCCTATAATATTCCTTTCTCGGTACCATTCGTTCGTTCTTTTCACATTGAATTTTGTGTTGATAGGTCGTGCGTACCCGCCCCTCTACTCAATTCGTAAGTACTTATTCACATTTTCTAAATAAATTTCACGTTTAACGGTGTTTCCTCAAAAAAAAAGTTAATTTGATTTTGAGATTAATTTTTTTTAAGTTCCAATTCCGAAAATTTTTTTTTTTTGAGGTTTATTTCTTCAAGTCACGTTTTGATTTTTAAAATTTTTCAGGCTTATTTAATTTTTAACTACATAATTAACAAAAATGGGTGACGTAGAAAAAGGAGCCAAAGTATGTATTTTTGAGTGTACCTATTATTTAAATAAATTTACTAAATTAAGTAATAATGTAATTTCTAGGTATTCCAAACTAAATGCTCTCAATGCCACACGGTTGAAGCGGGCGGCAAACACAAAGTTGGACCCAACTTGCACGGTTTATTCGGACGCAAAACCGGTCAAGCTGCTGGTTATTCATATACCGATGCCAATAAACAAAAGGGTAAATATGTTTTTATTTTATACACAACTATTTTATATAACGGTAATAATTATTTGTCAAAAATTTGTTTTGGTTTTTTGTTGATTGCGGAATCATTTAAGCTTTAAACTTATTATTTTTAACAGTGTTTTTTTTAATTTTTCATATAGTAATATTAAAAAATAATTTATAATTGTTAAAAGATAAAACTGAACAATGTGCCTACATTTTATGAAACTCTACTTTCTATCTACCATAGAACTTTAATGAAAAAATTATATGAAAATCTGAAAATATTAGAATATTAATCAGCAGTTATTAAGACCCATTTTAACTCAGTTTATAAAATGTCCATGATTAAGGTATTGTTAAAATTTTTATAACCTTGTATAATTTATATTATATTTGTTTGATTGTAGGTATCACATGGAACGAAACAACATTATTTGAATATTTAGAAAACCCCAAGAAATATATACCTGGAACAAAAATGGTGTTTGCTGGCATTAAAAAAGTAGATGAAAGAAACAACGTAATTGCTTATTTGAAAAAAGCTACCGCGTAATGTCAGTATTTGTGACAACACTATAATAGATTAAATTATGAGTAAAACCACGTTGTTATTTTTTTGTTATTATTATTCCCAGTGATTATGCCTAGTAATTATTGTACACGTACACTTTTTAAATTAAGTTATTTCTTGTTTAAATTTATTTGTTGTACAGTGTTATAGAGTCAAATATTAAATGTTTTAGAATTAATGCCTTGTAAAATTTATGTTGAAGGTCAAGGTTTAAAGTATACTGATAAAGCTTTACAACTTGAATTGAAAATACTAATAGATAATATATGACATTGACCTAAAAGTACTATTATTATTCATTGACAAATAGTATATTAAATAAATTGACTAATATTTGATAATGGTATTTAAAATAGAATTTGGCATTAAGTGTGAACTATATTTCAACATTATTTTAAGAACTGGGTCAAGTAATTGGCACCTTAATTTAAACATAAGATGTATTTAAAAGAAAACCGCTAATATTATAAAATCAAGTTAAATATTTACAAACTTATTTTATAATCACAGTTTGATGTTTGTATTGCCACATAGTAGTATTTACAGCCATAGAGCACAGGCAAGTTTTTGTTGACCTAACATTATTTCTCAATGTCATATATCCGGCACTAATAATTGATAGATAATATTCAGTGGAGTACTGAACTTAAATGTTAAATGACGCATTTTCATAATTAAGTAATAAGTTTTTTGGAAAAATTTCTATTATTCTCAAAAGCGCTATCTAGTGTAGTAATTTGTGAAGAACGTGATGTAGTTGATTCTTTATAACAATTGTAGCATAAAGGCGAAGTTAATCGATTATTTGATATTGACTATTGAGTATGATCTATTTATCTAAAAATCTTAGTGTTGAGAAACTCTCGCGCTTAACAATATTGAAGAATAAATACACTCATGTGAGTCATGTCTCATAGACGGTACATGGGTGGTATCATAATTAGTCAATATAACCAAAAAAAAAAATATTGTTCTGAATACGTTGAAATCAAAAATCTAACATAACCTTTTTTTTGTGCAGTATTACTTAATACAAGTTTATTAGTTTATTCGCTTAAACTTTGTAAGAAATCTGAAATATTCATGAATCATGATATAATACGAAAATTACGTATTTGTGCTGTTTTTGTTTTTAACCACAAAATATGTCTATACTGTATATCAACCAAAAATACATAGAATAATTTGTGGACTGTGATATTTTATATTGTTCTGTGCATGACAGAAATTATACAGAAATCTGGGTTTTTGACTATTCAGTATTCACCACGATTTAAGATATACATTTAAGATATATATCTTAAATTGTGGTATTCACTAACTGGCGTGGTCTACGCACATGCGCAAAATTGTGGAACAACCGAACAACACCATCTGTGCTAATTGACCTCGGGAAGCGCCATGAGTCATGACAAATGATTGATTTGTTTTGTCATATTACTCATACCATTGATTATAGAACTGACTATTCTATAATCAATGTTCATGCTAAACATCCAAACAAAGAAACAAGACTCCGCTTCCGATAACTTCCAGAAATAAGTCGCTCGAATGCACGATTAAACGGCCACAGGCTGTGCTGCGATAACTATGTAGGGTTGCTATTTTAATACTCAGTATAGTCAATTAATTTAAATGAGTAATGTAAACTATTAAATCATTTAAAGTATTTGGTGTAGCCATGTAGAGATTATTAATGCTTTTTTGGAAAATACATGCATTATTCTGAACTATGACTCTTTTTACATTTTACAGCTTGTACGATTATGCCTATATTTATACTTCATTAACATTCTTGTGAAACAAATTTGAGTTTATCGGTACAAAACGATTGCTCAACATGCATCCAAATCTATACACAAATATGTTTTCATTTAGATTTTTCAATATTCATTATTATTGTATTGTTTTAAAATCAGATGAAAGAATTCATTTAACCGTAAATGTAAATGTGATTGGTTGGTGGGATGTAGAAATGCAAAAATCATAGAGAAACTTATCAATTATTTAAAATGTAATTTACCAACAATTGCCTTTTAACCGTTAATGAGTTTTGGCAAGAAGCCGACGATAGTCAACTAGTCGAAAAAACTTGATTACACCACGCCAAATAAAAATATGGTTCTTTTTGACACAACCACCAGAATGGAATTCACTATGAAAACCTGTAATACTTATGATACCTAGCATCAGAGGCGTGTCCAGACCTCATTCGCAGTTCATGCACAACGGTGGAATATCCAGGGGAGAGAAAAACTACACCCCCCTCCCCCGCCAATAAAAAATTCTGTTAGGGTATTGGGATATAACCACCGAATTTAAAGATTTAAAAATAATTTTTTTAATTTAAATCAAATTTTGCGGGTCATGCCCGTGCATGACAGGCAAGACCCGTGGACACGCCTATGCCTAGCATTATAGCAGTTACCAAAGGACCTTGTGCCATGGTTATAGAGTATAAACTCATAGCTAATACACATGGATTTGTAAGAAAACCTTATTCCAGCATAGAACGGAATGTCTAAGACTAAATAAAATTATAATATAAAAAATGGTAGTTTAAGTGCTCACCCGTTGAGAAATCGTTATAGTGAAACAATGTTTGCAAATTATGTCAGATGTTAACTGTTTGAAAATTTCAAAGAATGGAGGCTTTATTAGCTGACATTAGTACCCTGGAGGAGAACCATATCCATATCATAGGTATAGGCTAACCCAGTGATGCAAAACCTTTTTCCTTTGGCGGGTCACATTGGTAAACAATTATCTTCAAGCGGGCCACAAAGTATAAAAACCGATTTTCTGATTTTAAATTACACGAAAATCGTGGCGTTTATTTGAAAATCCATTATCCTAAAAAAGTATTAATGAAAATGATGTCGACACTTCTTTTCAACTTGAAATTATTGAGTTGAAAACAAATTTATTTTACTGTGATGAATTTCGAAAAATGAAACAAAACGATATTTAAAAATTTTATTCAAAACTTCCACACGAAGATTTCCCTGCTTTAAGAGACTTTATAATGAAAATGGCTATTGGTATTTGGCTTGACATATGAATGCGAGGAAATATTTTCACGAATGAAACAAACAAAATCAGTTCATAGACCGCGACTTACGGGTGAACACCTTCATTCAATTTTTGGGGATTGGAATGGAACCACTAAATTCAACTAGATTTTTCATTATTTTTGTAAAACAAGTACAAGCTCAATTTTCACATTAAAAATAAGGGCGAAACGTTTTTGTATAGTTTTTAGTTTTATTATTATCATTGTAATTGTATTTTTTGGAATAATAATTTAAATAAAATAATATATGAAAATAAATAATTTAAAAAATTTTTCATAAATTTTTAAAATTTGTAACGGGCCACATGTGGCCGGCGGGCCGCGGGTTGGGGACCACTGGGCTAACCTGATCTAACTATGTCTACTATGATCTATACAACCATACGTCCATACCATATACTACATTTCCTTTTAAATCAAGGATTATAAATAATCTGTTATTTATAGGGAAATGAGATGGAATACGAAATAATACCATCTGGAAGATAAAACATAATATCAGTTGGTTTCAGTTTTTATTTATTAAATTCTTTAATAATTAAAAATAAAAAAATAAATTTGAATTGTAATTATTTTTAGTTGTTTACAATATTTACACTTCAATATTTAACTGTAGTTTAATATTGATTGCAGCAAGTTCAGAGCATAAATATCGAAAAACATTAGGTATTCCAATTTCTTGTACTTGAGTAGAGTCGCATGTTCTACATTTTGCAATTTTACTTGAATAGCTGTCTTCTTTAAATTGAACTAATGAAGTTAGTATTGTATGGCATTTCAAACACAACAGAGCCTAAACATGTACAAAAGAGTGTAATTACAAATTAGGAATATCTTAAAAAGACAACAGTTATAAGCCAAATAATTAAGTTTTCAAAGTTTAAAATATTGTTACTTGTGATTCTTAAAAAGTGCAATGAATTATATTTATTAAGAGGACCCTACCAGTGCATAGTTTTTGTCTTACAAACACACAACATACCAAATTAGACATTCACAATTATCTCTTTTACTCAGTTATTGTATACACAACAACAATAGCAGTGGTAGGGTATCTTTATAAAATTTAAAGGTGAGATTATTATCTCTGAGGCTATCATTAATGTATTAATTACAAAATAAGTTATGAGCATTTTTAAATTGTAAATACTAACTGTTGATTTATCTGAGCAATCCATAAATCGATCTTGCATTAAAAATGGAGTTCCGTGTGATATTAATGCATCTCTCTCCATTTCACCAACACGACCACCACCACCTCTTTTACGGCCTTTCACAGGTTGTTTTGTAACAGCATCCACTGGACCAGTACTTCGTACCTATCATACAATTATTCAACTATTTTGTTTTTAATAATGTACTGTTTTATGATATAGTTACCTGCCACTTATCTGACACCATATGCCTCAATCGTTGATAATGAACAACACCAAAAAATATAGATGCCTGCATTGCTCGGCCATCTACACCACTATACATTTGTTCCGTTCCAAAATAATTGTATCCACCTAAGTATTTATAAATAATAAATTGTGTATTATTTATATTATTTTACATCTTAACAACATCCAAACATAGTAGTAAATCAATGTAAAACATACCTAAGACTAAATGCACAATTTTTTCAACTAAATACAGATGTCTTACCTGCTTCTAAGAGTTTCCCAAAGAAATCAATTGCAGTATCTTCTTCACTATACTTAAAAGGTGTAGCATCATGTACTACACCATGCACTGCTGCAGATTTGCCCGCCATACACTCTATCATCATAGCTAAAGATAAACATTTAAATTAGTTAATGAAAAAGTTTAAAATTATTATTATAGAAAAATATTCACCGATAGTCATTCTTGAAGGAAAACCATGAGGATTGAAAACAATATCTGGAACCATTCCACTTTCTGTAAATGGCAAGTCCTCTGCAGGCCAGCCTTTACTAAATATCCCCTTTTGTCCTGCAC